AAGAGCAAAGCCAGGTACCTATACCAATTATTGAAACAGGAATGGATCTTTAAGGATGAGTTTGAGAATTTGAGAATTAAGAAATGGTTCACATTGTAAAATATAAGGTGAGATCAACTCACCACATTCCCTCAGAACAGAATTAAAGTAAAAGATATTGTGGAAGATATAGAAATAGGGGAAGCATTCAAGACCAAAGAAATCACTGTGTGGAAAGAAAATTCTGTGAATATAAATATAAATATATAAGAAAGAAGTGCACATCAGTATGAACTGTGACTAAAGACAAAGTACTCTCACTCTGCGGCAGTGCACAGTGGCAGCAAAACCATCTATAGATACAAGCATCTATCCTCAGAGTGAGTTACATAATAATTGCTAAGCAATTTAAAAATCTTTTTATAATCAGATAAAACTTCAATGAAAAATTATGCCACTGAAAATATAAAGTAAACAAACCCAAACAAATTCTCTCCATTTAAACAGTAACTTGTGCTTTGTAAGCACCAATTAATGTTTAATACCTTTAAAGTCAATGAATAATGACACTTTTCAAAAATTTTAGTTTGTAGAAATGTGTAGCATTAGCTCTGAAGTATTGCCTTCTGCTGTTTAAACCCAGGAGGACTCAATTCATCTATATCTAGAAGGAGTAAGAATGGCAAGATAATAAACCTAAGGATTTATAACCTGACAAACTGTAACTATGTTCAGAAGATAAGATTGTGTTCAGGAAAAAGCTTCAGATTTTTCCCAAAGATCTCTAACAGTTTATAATAATTGCTTCTAATTTAATGGCTGGAGTGCTTGCTTCGGCAGCACATATACTAATTTAATGGCTGGGTTTGAAATGTCAATGTTACCCTCCCAAAAATATACACAATCAACCACATTTGCTTATAAAAATTTCTTACCTTTTCAATGTCTTTGGATCAGAAATAAGGGAATCCCTATAAATTTTCATTGAAACTCACCCTTGGTTGCTGGCACCTAAGAATTCCCCTTTCTTCCCAGCTCTGTTTTATATCTTTCTTAGGATATCTTATTCATGTTTTCTATGCAGTTATAGAGAACAAAAGATATGTAATTTGTTCAGTCCACTATAATGCCAGAATAAAAAGTCTTTACAAAAAATTTCAAAAACTGTCCTCACTATTAAAAAAACAAAACAAAACAAAAAAAAACTGTCCTCACAGTCTAATATTATTAATACAAAAGGGTGAATTAATGGGATGCCTGGGTGGCTCAGTTGTTAAGCATCTGCCTTCAGCTCAGGTCATGATCCCAGGGTCCTGGGATCGAGCCCCCCATCGGGCTCCCTGCTCTGCGGGAAGTCTGCTTCTCCCTCTCCCACTCCCCCTGTTCATATTCCCTCTCTCTGTCTTATAAATAAATAAATAAAATCTTTAAAAAAAAAGGGGGGGTGAATTAATACTGTTCAGCCTAATCAGCGTATTCTTGTAAATCATCCTTTCTAGTCATAAATTCCATTTTCTCTTTTAAGAATATCACAACCTAGGGGCGCCTGGGTGGCTCAGATGGTTGGGTGTCTGCCTTCAGCTCAGGTCGTGGTCCCAGGGTCCTGGGATTGAGCCCCACATCGGGCTCCCGGCTCAGCAAGGGGCCTGCTTCTCCCTCTCCCTCTGCCTCTCCCCCTGCTCATGCTCTCTATCTCTCTATCTCTGTGTCTCAAATGAATAAATAAAATCTTTTTAAAATTTAAAAAAAAAAAGAATATCACAACCTTCTTTTGCTTTTGCACTGTGTCTTTCACTGGAAAAATAGGAATTTCTGTCACAGGGTAATTTTTTACAATTTTTCTACTGTGCTAGTGTAGAGCAGGTAGAAGGCTACTATAAAGTGCTCTCAGAGTTTGGAGAGAAAACAAGATCAATACAATAGATGAATATGGTTATCTGCAGAAGAACAGTACAATAGAAACAGCACAAGAACAAAGCTTAAAAACACTTGGGTTTTAATCCCAATTTCCTGCTGAGCAAGTGACCTCAAATAAGCTATTTAACCTCTCTCATCCTCAATCTCTTAATTCTTTTTAAGAAAATACCACTACCCATCTTAGGGTTATTTTAAGATAATTCAGTAGGCACTCAATTAAATAATAGCTATTATTATCTTAAAGAATGTTTAAATGTTTTCTGATAAAAACCAGAGAAACCTACTAATTCAACCATTATCCCTAGGAGGCTAGACTAAATTTACAGAAAGCTATGATCCAATTCAATCCGGTTTATTATCCTGTCTATAACAAGGTAATGGTACTTCTGGAAGCACTAAAATGGGAACTGAACATTACTTAATTATTGGTTTTAGTTATTAAATAGTTTATGTAGTACATATTTAATCCTAGAGCATTTAAATTCCATTTCTGTATTTGGAGAATTGCCCTCTAGTTGAGTCTTAGTGAGAAGCCAAGGCTACCTTCCACTAAAACAAACGTGCCCAACATCCACTTTACAGGTCTCCCTTGTAGGCTCTGCCAGTCAGATGCACCCCATTCTCTTCCCTTTTCTCCCACTGGACCTGATTCAGGGGTTAATGCAAAGAAATGAAGGCTTTAAGGAACTAATTCTGGTTAGAGTGGCAGCAGCAGCAATCTTCCAAAGTCAGAAGCCAAACAAATACATTCTCTGGTTCTATTACAACCTGGATAAAAGTCTCTCTTAAGACCACTGAATCCCCTTTACTCTGAACCTATGCTCTCCAAACAATATATTTTATATTTTATATTCTATATATCTTAATATCATCAAGGGCATTAACAAGTGCCCTATCCACAGAAAAAGGAATAATCTAAACATAAATGAATATACCAGGGTTCTAATGTTTTTCATGAGTATATAATGAGTGTGGTACATGTGTCAGACCTCTACAGCCTGATCCTCTGTGGAAAATGACAAATCAAGTGCCAGAACACCTCAAATAGGAACCAGATTCCGAACCCATGGCACGAGTAAAATATAATTACTTGTGCTATTTTCTGTGACAGATAATTCATTTTGCACACATAGACTTCCAACACAAACTACTAAATAGCCGACAGTGCTCCACACAAGTCAGTAGGTGTCTAATGCTTTCAGTGGCACTGTGCACAAGTGACAATTTGCCCCCCTCCCATAAAATAAAGATGCCATACTTTCAAGGTCCAAAGAGAGAAAGAAATGAAGACAGTGTCTGAGAGGAGAGGAAGTTGATTTTCTAAGTTCAGAAGATTTACTTTTTTCCCCCAGGAGAGTTTGCAAAGCCAGTTTTTACATACATAAGTTTCTACCACATTAGACATTATTCCATTTAAAACATAAAACACTCAACATTTAGAACACTGGTAAATTTAATTTTAACCAGAAATCCCTTCTACTTGAATTACGCAATTTCTCAACTAAGCCTCCACCAACATGCTGCCCAGTCACACTTAAAAATGGGAATGAGAATACAGATATTTGTTTTTCCTATTAAAAAGCAAATGTCAAATGTACATTTCATACCTTTATTAAAATTAGTTTCTACTCCTGAGGTTTTGTTTCAGGTACAAAGCATGTTTAAATCAGAAAACTGGAACAATTATGTTGCAAAGAGAATTTCTCCAAAGGAGTAAAACTTTTCTCACTGATATTTCAATATGACATACCAAAAATATTAACCTAACCTTTTGGGCATATTAATGCCCAAAAGATATTAAGTCAAAGCACAATATCGGAACAGATTCGAAATATATCTGATCCAATTTTTTACCTACTCTCAATTTTTAATTTATAGACCCAGCATTCAAATCTTATGTTTATACTCACTGTCCTTTCAAAAGTTGTATCAAAATTCAATAGACGAACCACCCAAAACACCAACTTTGGTAGGGTCCGTTCTTTTTCTTTAAGATTTTATTTATTTATTTGACAGAGAGAGAGAGACGGCACAAGCAGGGGGAGTGGGAGAGGGAGAAGCAGGCTTCCCGCTGAGCAGGAAGGCCAATACGGGGCTCGATCCCAGGACCCTGGGATCATGACCTGAGCCGAAGGCAGATGCTTAACAACTGAGCCACCCAGGCACCCCGGTAGGGTCAGTTCTTAAAATCAACTAAGAACTTACTTTACAATTCTGTCTGCATCTGGAATAGTAACAATACAAATATTCTTTAGAATTCTTATCCACACGTTACCAAAAATATTTCAGAAATTTGAAAGTTACCACACAAATGATTGTTCTTTCTTCATCACTTCTTCCCTAATGTATCTCAGAAAACTAATTTTAAAAATACCATTTATGGGGCACCTGGGTGGCTCAATCAGTTAAAGGTCTGCCTTAGGCCCAAGTCATGATCGCAGGGGCCTGGGATCAAGCCCTGGGCTCCCTGCTCAGCCTGCTTCTCCCTCTCCCTCTACCACCCGCCCAACCCCCCTGCTTGTGCTCTCTGGCTCTCTCTTTCTCTGTCAAATAAATAAATAAAATCTTTTTAAAAATTAAAATACTATTTATATTCATAAAGACCTAAAATTGCTCACGTTCCATAATAACCCACGCCCAAAAGTAAATTCCCAGTCCTAAAAATGGAGTTACTTTGAACAAGTCAATGGCATGGAGACTAGGTGGTGGGATGACTATTGGCCTTTTTGGATCCTGATTCAAACAAACTACCTATAAAATGGCATTTTTTAGATATCAGGGGAAATGTGGACTGGATAATCAGATATAAAATTTCTCTTACTTTGAGGAGTATGATAATGGTATTATTATGATTAGCTAATATTAGGTTCTTATATTTTTAACAGAGATATATGTAAATATAAGTTTAGAAGTGACATAACAATGCCAGAATTTAAAATACCAGACAAAAGAAGGAGCAATTATGTCAAAATGTTGATAACTTTAAATCAAGGGAGGAGTCTGTATGTCTATTATTTAACGTAATAATGTTATTTATGTTTAAAATTTTTTTACAGAAAGTAAGTGGGGGAAAAAAGGAACAAAAGAATAAACCAACCAGTTACCTTTTCCCAGTCAACTCAACTTGGCCTTTCTTATTGAAGAAGAACTTGGAATCATTATATCCCCAACCATTCCATTTCATAACTTCTTGCCTAGTAATAATAAAAAAATATGTTAGACCTATGCTAAAATCTCATAACTAAAAACATAACAACTAAATTTAATGCATTCAAAGAAAAAAAAGGAACGAGAGAAAAATATAGAGTATGCATCAATTTGTATATGTTACTAGTTTACATTATAGGATGGCCTAAAAAATTTGCAATTAAAATAAAACAAGTAAGAAGCAAATTTTCGCCTAAATTAGAAAAATCACAATTATTTATCTGCTATGATGAAAAAGACCAATTTACAGAGTAAGTTCTCTAGTAATGACACTCTAGTAGCAGACACTTAATAAAATAGATAAAAAATCTGAGAGCTGGGTTTACAAACATTCTAAATCCTCTAACTTCCATGTAACTACCAATTTCTATCTTGACCTACATATTAATATAACAGTTAATGACTACACCAGTTTTTAGTATTCCAAAACAATATGGTATTTTGAATTTCTAAAATGCTAATATTTCATTGTCTTAAAAATCACTTTCATCAGAATCAGGGACTCAGTGGGACGCCTGGGTGGCTCAGTAGGTTAAACATCTGCCTTCAGCTCAGCTTATGATCCCAGGGTCCTGGGACTGAATCCCATATCGGGCTCCCTGCTCAGCGAGGGGCCTGTTTCTCCCTCTGACTGCGGCTCCCCCTGCTTGTGCTCTCTCTCTGTCTTGCTCTCTCTGACAAATAAGTAAATAAAATAAAAAAAAGACTCTTTAATTTTGAATATTACATAAGAATAGATAGGTCTAGGCCTGTGCAGAACACAATAAGCAACCACACTGAAGTATTCTACCAGCATTTATTACATGTTTTAGCATGGTCCCCTAGTATATCTGGGCAACAAATTTTATTGCAAATTCAATTATGCAGTCTATGATGAAAATACTTGAAGAAAACTTCTCTATACAGAAACTTATTTGCTGCATAAAAATTTCAAAATATATCACAAGAAAAAAATCTATAAATATTTGTGGTGATGGATGTTAACTAGATTTATTGTGGTGATCTTTTCACAATATACACAAATTTTGAATCATTACATTGTACACCTAAAATTAATTACATGTCAAGTATATGTCAATTTTTTTAAAATGTCAAAATAAACAAAGATGCACTCATTAGAAAGTATTCTAACTCTCCGTAATTCCCAAAGAACAATATGTCAACTGACAAGCAAGTTTTTTATTACAATCATAATTCTTCTCCAAATCAAAGACTTTTCAAACAAGTAGAACACTAACACAGCACAAATGGACCAAGTATAGGTTGTTAACTGGTCACTACCTATACATAAAACTGAGAAAAAGAAACTAGGCATGCTGTCTTTAAAACTAGTTTGCTATCAATAAAAACTCTAGTCCCTAAACAAAAACAAACGGTTCAAAAATATCTCAAGAGTATCAATCCAGAGATTGGATTTGTAGATGAGCCTGTTATGAACTATCACCCAATGTTTTCTTCTGATTTCACATTCATACCTCATTGTAGAGGAAGGTTCTGGAAGAGAGCTTTTAGGAAAATCTCTACAGAAAAACCTCATGGCTAATGTCACCCCTGACTTCCCATTTTCTTAAGATTACATTTTCTAAAAACCAATTTACTTACCATCTGCTTCACTTTTTTCATAATTATATTCTCTTCACTTTTATGAAGTATAATTCATTTAATATTTTATATTTCCATAATAATTTACATGAGGATGATATGTACATTTTAATTAACATTTTACTTAATGTTTTATAATATGGTATAAGTTATTTGTGAAATACATTTTATTAGTGGATTTAAACATTTGTCATGAAGTCTGTACTCAATAAAACAAAGTTTGGTGTTACACAAAATAAATGCAAAAATACCAACATAGTCATTTTGCTTTGGTATTACAATCACTAGGCACTGGGAAATTATTTCAGTACAGATGTTGAATTTGGTATGTTTACATAGCTTAACAATGAAAATCATTTTCCTTAAAATTATGTTTAGAATTTAAAAAAAAAATTATTCCCATATGGCCTCAAAGTAAAAAGTGAAACCTGATTACATGTGTTCACTCTTAGCACTGCACAAGAAAAATAAATCAAGGAAAGTGGGAAATATCTGCTGCTGTGCACTCAAAAATGAAGAAATTTACATTCTGAAGAATCACCAGCCTTAAATTTTCAGTTGGGTAACAGTCTAAAGAATTCCCAAGTTTTCAACTATAGGCTAAAGGTACTTTTTTCTCTCCTTTCATCTCAACTAGAAAATTCTGCCTATGATATTTATACCATTACCGTTTATATACCATTACCGTATTTATACCAACTTATGGAGCCTTCCCAGAAGTTGAAATGTAGACATTTATAATCCATTTGTGCCCCCCCAACAGTATTATGTTGCTGAAAATAGTATATATTTAAAATCTAGGTTGCCCCAAAATCAATCTTCTGATATCTTCAAGTATCCCACATATTATATAAAAAGTAGGCGAATTTCCTAGGTTTCTGGTATTAAACTTTGTACAAAGGTATAACCCTTAAATTACTAACATATTTCATGAGAGTTAAACACAACTATGTGATTAAACTTTCAAAATAACTTCTTATACAGAAGAATATAATGAGTAACCTGAAGGGCATTATAACATTAACATTTTAAGTTAATAATAAAACTTTACAGTCATAGAATTCTAAAGCTAAAAAGATCCTTAGAAATCACCCAGTTCAACTGCTCATTTTTCAGATGAAGAAATTTATGCCCAGAGAAGCACTCATGATTACACAGCTAAGCTAGTTGTGAGCAACAGAAAGTGAACCCCCAGTCTTGGGAGAGGTAATATCCAAAACCCACGAAGTCATGCCCTCAAGTAATCAAAATGATTTAAACGAACCCTTCTTTCATCACAGCAATATTTTTCAAAGCACTATTCCATTTATTATTATAGTCATTCTTCTGCACTTGACATTTAAAAATCAAGGACTATGGCTGAGTCAGTAAGCCCTCACTTTATCTATAGTATAATGAATTCCGGCATTCAGAATAATTATCCCAAAGCATGGCAAGCACTAAAATGAAGAATGATCAAAGAATCATCAACATTCCATAAGATTCAAATAAAATGATTCAATTTCCTACTAACCCCAGAGATCAATTAACCAGACTGATCCCTCAGACTTCCCAATTCTTAGAGCTAACTACACCAAATTTAATGTCTTCAAAATACAAGACCCCTCCTCCTGCCAAGAAAAAAGAAAACTGGATTGATTTTACTACATGAAAAATGAAAAAAATAAAACAAATGTTTTACACATTTACTTATCTAACCACAGTATCAAATGGTGAAGAAGCACTTTGTATTAGTTGGCGTAACAAAAGAAAACGGAGACATAACATAGCATCATGTATACACAAGGTGGCAGTATTCTCCCATAATATACATATTCAGTACTCTGCATTTTCCCCCCCCACCCCGAGCTGTTGTTTGCACAATCTTTAACTGAAATATTTAGACCTAACATTATTATTATGAAACTCAGAGACCCTTTCTTTAAAATGGGAGATACTCACTTTTAAGTCTCTGCATATACACAGACTACTACTACTACTACTATTATTCTAATAATAATAATAAATTGCAAGCATCCTGATATAAATGCATAGTTTCTACCATTACTATTTCTAATCATATTTTTTCATTAGAAAATAGAGAAAAGGAAAATATGCTTTAACCTAATTTTATTTTGGCTTAGCAATAAAAAATTCAACTAAGTGATAACTAAAATTTTTTTCCAATATAATTCCAATAATCAAAATTCTAATAAAAGATACTTCACTACTTAGTTCAGATGAAAACCAAATTTTTGTCTATCGTTTCCAGTTTAAACAATAAGAAAAAGATATTATGATCTCAGAGATTTTAGAAAATAAAAACTGAAGTGCAAAACTTAATCCTCAAGGCTAGATTTTTTTTTTTAAGATTTATTTGAGAGAGAAAGAGAGAGAGAGTGCGCTCAAGTGCACACATGGGGGGAGGGGCAGAGGGTGAGGGATTGAGAGAATCTCGAGCAGACTCCCCACCCAGCATGGAGTCTACTGCAGGGCTTGATCTCACAACTCTGAGATCATGATGTGAGCCAAAACCAAGTTCAATGCTGGATTTCTAACTAACCAGGCTCAGTATCAGATAAATTCAAATTAATCCCATATGTAGTACAATATATATAAATAAAAAATCCTTATTATCAGGTTGTGTGCTTAATTACCTCAAGACCCAGAAAACCTAAAGGACATCGTGAAAGTGAAGTAAAAAAGTGTTGAGAAAGATACCAAGATTTTATCAATACAACAAATATATCCCTAAAAAGATCTGCAACAAAAAAATTCCTATAATTGAAATAATAATCCTACTAACTTCCTTTTATTAAAAAAAAAAATTGAAGCTAAGTTACCATTAGAAATATAAGGGGCTGGGCGCCTGGGTGGCTCAGTTGGTTGGGCGACTGCCTTCGGCTCGGGTCATGATATCTCTCATTCTCTCTCTCTCAAATAAATAAATAAAATCTTAAAAAAAAAAAAAAAGAAATATAAGGGGCTAATGAGGGGAGAAAACTATAGAATACTAATTCTAAACTTAATTTAAAATGTATACATTTTTAAATAAATTTAATATCATATCTAGACTACAGGTCCTACAAAATTATTTTTTTTTTAAGATTTTATTTATTCTGTCAGAGAGAGAGAGTGCAGGCACGAGCACAAGCATGGGAGCGGCAGGCAGAGGGAGCAGCAGGCTCCCCACTGAGCAGGGAGCCCAACATGGGACTCAGTCCCAGGACTGCGGGATCATGACCCGAGCCGAAGGCAGACGCTTAACCGACTAAGCCATCCAGATGTCCCTACAAAATTATTTCTAAAAACTCAATAGAAAAACTATATGAAACTATTTACAATGCTTACTTCCTCAACCTAACAGTGCAACTAATTTCCTTTTGTTAACCTAAGCAGCTTAATT